TCATTTTTTAGCTGGGGGGGGGGGCGGAGGAATTTGGGGGAGGGTCAGCCAATTTTGACATGCTTCAAAGGGGTGGGTCTTTTTATAGTTTTGGTATAGATGGAGGGGGTCATAAAAATAATCAGTGAAAAAATCACCAATATAATTTTATTGAATTTGGAAATATTTGGATCAAGAATGGTAAAAAGGTCTAGAATCTATCAACTATCTCGTCATCTATAACAATGAAGCAAAATTCATTCGACGCTCTGTTCACACAGTCCATAGGAAAACATTTTCATGACTTTCGTCAATTCACCTCGTTTTTATCCGTTTTTGTGTGAAATCATTAATGGAAATGCAGGGCCCCTCCAATAATTTGCTAATAGTCATTCTTTTTTAAAAGTCATGCAGACTTTATCAATTTTAAGCTTTATTAATTTTAAGCGGCTACATTATCCATGACAAACTGCAAAGAATGAAGATATTATCCACAGTTTCCTGCAACTTATCCTAGTTATCCAATATATATATATAGTTAAGTAAATACGCCTTCGCCCACTTAGTACTACCAAATTGTAAATTTCGACATACTAAAACGCTGTTTTCTGATCATCAGAATTCTGTCAAATCTTCCCAAAAGTCCAGGAAATGGCATTTCAGAGACTCTAGATTTAAAAATTGCCTCGGGTCTTCGGCCCTCGCTTTAAGCCCCCCTCCCCCGATCAAAAAGAGCTTCTTACGGCCCTGAAACGCTACGGAAACGACACCGTGTGGATTAATAATAGTTAGGATGAGGGGTCAAAACATTTTTCAGTAAAAAATAGGGGATGATAATTTTTTATCAACTTTTCTCTCGGGGGTTCCAAGTTTTAGCATGGAATTAGACATCAGTTCCTTCCCCCCCCCCCCTCCCCAGCTAAAAAATGATTGCTCCCCTACTTATTATAACATTTAGCTTTTGACAATCATACGAACCTTTAAAGTTGATGTCCACTCCGTTCTGCGCATCAGTTCTGCTCACAACAAAGGCGAACCCCCAGATATAAACATTGCCCAAATTTTGCATCTTTCGAACTTTTTTGAATTGAAACGTACAGTTTATATTCATTTACAAGTATAGCGAACCAGAAAAGTGAAAGATATTCAGTTAGTAAATCATATTTTACAAATATAGCAGTTCAAAACGTAAACAAATTTCGCGCATGTGCACAGGAGTGGACATCATCTTTAAAGTATTCAACTTGACTGCGTTCAACCGTATGTCTTATTTCTATTTATATCGCGTTGCAGTCCAGTCCACACTCACTATGGCCACACAAAGCGATGGGAGCATACCAGGTTGTCAAAGGAAGACGGGAGAAAATAGCTGCAAGTATATAACAGGGCGTAACAAAAGAAAATATTTTGAATGAGATAAGACGCAATGAACGAAAGTGACCAGTCTTCCAAACGTTACCATCGTATTGGACATAAGGACCTCAGTAATATCAAAATATCATTTCGGGTTAACCTCTCGTAACCGGCCTTTGATGAACTCGCATGAGCGGACACGAGGCGTCTATAGGAGGTTTGACTGTAGATATTCTATTATGCCGAACAAAACATAAGTAATTTGTAGGTGAGAATAAGACTATTGTCCACTTCATATTAAAACCCTTTAGGACCAATCATTGCACTAAAATACTTTAATAAACGTATTAACGCAGACATACCACAGAGTTTAAGATGATTATTGAATTTTTATTTTAATATTGCAGAAGAAAAATTCGAAATTACAATTGAATTAAAAATTACATTAATTATTGTAGCAACTTAATTAATAATTTTATTCGGGCTCAGACTCCGAGCTCTCTTCCGCGGCAGTTTCCAACCAAGTTAACCACGAATTCACCTATATAAAGAGATCAGAGTCAATGCAAACGTTCATAATGACAAATGAAGGGTGTTGCCATAATTTATTCACGCACATGGTGCGAAAATATCTTTGCAAGAAGTTGGAACTTCATATGCAAAATTACCTTGTTATTTGTCTTCCTAATAATATACATGAAAAATTACTCGAATCTGCTTGGCTAAGAGAGCTGCAATTTTATCGAAATATACACGTCATAATTAGTGGTTGTAACTTTTATTAGATTGTCGATGTTATATGAAATTGAGGGCATTCTGATACTAAAAATAAAACATAATAGTATGGGTGGAAAGCAACAGGATCAGGACCAGGTCGCAGCTTATGTATGAACCAGGTTATTTCTACCTTGGGCAAAATGCACAGAAATATTGGATATTTAAAAAAATTATATGGCAGTCCAGGGGATCCTCCAGCCAAGAAACGGTTTTTGTCAAACAGGAAGGGATCAGGAAATGTTTCGTTCTTGGTACACCAAGGCATTTTGCGCAGATTCTTCAGAAATTGTTTGTAGTTGTTTACAAATTCAGGAATTTTGCGCAGATTTTCATAATAGACCTTTCCTCTAATTATGTCACAGCTACATTGTTTTCAACTGAGAACCTCCTTAAATGGAATGGATTTAAAGTTTTTTCTCACAGGCTATGCGCAAAGAAGCAGAGCATC